ATCCCCTAGTACAGAGCTGAGCCTGGGAGATTGAGACCTGTCCTCCTGGAGGAGCGCAGCAGAGCACACCTGGCTTGAATTCCAGTTCCATCCCTCGCTGTGTGTTCTTGGGCACATCACCTAACTTCCAAGATTCAGTTTTCACATGAAAAAAATAAAGATGCTACCATTTCCATCTTATTGTTGATGATTAAACAAAAGCATGTGCCGCCACTGAGTACAGAATCCAAAATCAGCACTCAAGAATGATTACGTCTACTCACTGGAAAAATGCATGCAAAATTACTTTGGGGTCTTGGTCTGAATGTTTCTGTTGCACTAGCTTTATGTTTGACTTGGGGGTGAGTGCGGACACATATCTCTGCGAGGAGCATCAGCAGGACAGGAAACACTGGCAGGGGAGCTGAAGGCCCTGAATGAACGCCAGCTGTCTCAGGGCCCCCTGTGGGCCTTCCTGTGCAGGGAGAGCTGTGGGGGTGTGGAGAGAAACAGTACTCAAGACAACACAGACTGAAGACTTGGCTGAGGTACCAGATGAGTTGCCTAAGAAATATCAGGTCCCCACTGCAGTCCCAGTGGGGGAGAGAAGTCCCCAATGCAGCAAGAATTTACTTAGACATAGGAAGTACTTTATAACAGTACTATGAAGTTTGTGTCTCCTAAAGGTGAGACTACATGCCTGAAACATCCTACAGAACATTTCCACTCAATGTCCTACTGACACCTGAAACTCAAAACAGGTCTTGTCCTCACAGCTCAGTTTCTCTTCCTGCTTCCTCAATCCTCTTAGTTGTTGGGCTGGTCATTCCTTCAGGTTTAAAATCCTTGAGTCACTTGTGACTGATACCCAGTCAAAACAGGATTTTGGGGTTCCATACCCAGTCAAAACAGGGTTTTGGGGTTTTCCCTTCCAAACCCTTCCTTCCCTATCTCTTTCTGTTCCCACTACTGCGCTCAGGACATAGGATGTCACGTGAGTCAGTCTGAGAACTGACCCTGCTAACAGAACCCGCCCTCTCCAACCCCTTCCTCGAAACCAGAATCAGGACCCCTAGCTTATACACCAATGCCCATCTCCCCTGTCTGCCCATGGAGACCCTTGGGGCTACCTTCTCAAATGCATGAAGCCTTCGCAGAGGGGCACACGCCAGCCCGTCTTCGTGCTCTCCCCCGCCCCAGTCCAACCGGCTCATTTAATGTGTGGGACTCAGCAGAGACCTTCAGCCTCTTCAGATCGTCACTTGTTCTCCAACTCTTACTTGGAGCCCTACCAGTGTTCACCCAGTTCTCAGGGTTCTTCAATGAATGCCTTTATTCCACTCTTAAAACATTTTAGGAGACAGTGATCAGTCTTTCCATTACCTGGATGACATTGTTGAGGCTCCAAATGCTTGAGAGCCTGAGCGGAACGTGGGTGGTCGAGGACTGCAGAGTCCCAGCCCTGGCCACCCTGCTAGCCTGCTCTCCAAAGGGCTGGATGGCCTGAGCCACACAGCCCAGCATTTCCACGGGGAGTGGTGAGGACAGCACTGCTGGGCCAAGGACTGCTGATTGGTGCCAGAGTTATTTCCCTGATTCTACATTACACGCTTAGAAAGTCAAGGACTAAATAAACCCAATCCTTTTTCCATACCCCGCCAGATGTAATAATGTCTGGCCAGGCTCCCACTTGTGATCCAAACACACCCTATGACACTGGGTTGATTCCTACATAATGCTTACATCCATTCAAAGTCTTTGATTTTTGTTTTCAAAGGTCACTCAGCAGGGCATGAAGTGGCTTAGGAGGAATGTTCAAGGCACCGAGGCAAAAAGAGAGAACACAAGCATAGGCTCTTGGTCAGGGAGCAGCATCCACACCCGCTTTCCACTTGAAACAAACCCCCTGCCTGACTCAGACCTACTGAGAACAACTGTAATGGCGAATGAGGCCCACAGTCCCATGGTGCCTGAGAGGAAACCCCCCAGGACTGCAGAATCTTGGAGACGAAAGGCCTGAGAGATCATTTCTGCCCAATCCCTCTTAATCTCTGTTATAATAAAGCAGCATATAGTCAACCTGCTCAAAACAGTCTCGGCTGAACCAGCAAGACACAGAGGTTTCCTCGCTTGTACGATAGTGACACGGAGGGAGCAATTACAGAAAGTTCTGAATCACAAACTGGGGGAAAACCATTGGAAGACTCAGCTGGACACACGTGCTCTTGTGCTAGTCCCATGTTTGGGTCAATTGCAGCAGGCAAACACGGATACCTTCTGATCTCTGAAAGGCTGCCATCAAATTCAAAGCACTGAATCACCACAGATGCCCAAAGAGAGCACAGTCCCAGTTACAGCTCCTCTGCTTTGAGCCAACTTTGTAGTCCAGGGTGTTCTCTAAACGGCACTGTATCTGTCCTTTTATTTTAATGTACAGAAAGACTAGAACACCATCAAGAATATTATTTTCCCCAAGTTACCTGACAGTCATAGCAAACATGGAACCTGTCACCCCAATACTTGGTAGTTCCAGAAGCAAGGACATTCTTCTGCAAAACCACAGTTGTATAAGCTGCAGCCCAATCTGTCCCACATTAGTGCCAATCTTTATAGCCATCAAGACTGGTGGAAAGCAGAAGGGGCATTGAAAGTACTTTCACCTTCCTTCTCAACAGTGACACCATGTTGAGGGTGGCTGTGGGAAATTAAGTCATCCCAGGGGTGGTGATCTCTTGTCAGGGGTGCCTCCCTCTGCTTTGATATTGGAGAATCATGAAAAGTTCATGCCGAGATAACAAGGTCTCTCCTTGTCTGGCAAAAGTAAGGCCCAGAGTGAACATGATAAACACATCAAAATTAAAAAATGGAAAAAAGAAAAAGGGTGGCATTTATCCCAGGTGATGAGACTCCCGATCCCCAAGAGATTCCAGATTAGCATAGCAAATGCTGTTCACAGATGAGAAAGTTAAAGATGATGTTACTTGTATCTTTATAATACACAGTGTTCACTACAAGTATTTTCAAGGGCATGTGTGGCTGGCGGTGCTGAAGCCTGGCAGAGGCTAGTGAAGAAGCTAGAGGGGGAGGAGCCTCCCTTGCTCAGCCAAGCACTCCTGGGCAAAATGAGAGCCAAGGGGAGAAAGTTAAAGACAAGCAAACTTTGATTCTATTTAAAAAGAGCTTTCTAACAATCTGTGTTCTCCAAAAATGGAACTGGCTGCCTCCTGAGCAGACGCGTTCCAGTGGAGCCGGGCAGCCATCTGCCAGGATGGTGTGGCCCCGCGTGCAGCTCGAGACAGGCCAGCTGAGGGCAGGGCCCAGGGCACTCACTCCGTTTGTGTGTGCTCATGCTACCTGTACCCTCATTTCTTTACCATACCGAATGTTGACAGCCATCTTTCAAGAGACATATTTGAGGGATAAGTTAAAAATGGTGTCAGTTTTGTGGAAATGTGTGAGTATGTTCATGAAAAACAGAATTTGTACATCAGGCTCAGAACCTATGACAGCTGGTGATCTGGTATGATTCATAAGCAGGCCTGTGTCTCACTTCTCTCTCCCTGCCATGGAAATAACTTAATCCACAGCAAAAATGCTACCCAATAAATGAAAGCTTCAAATGGCTTTGAAGAGTGAGTGAGTTTTCAGACTGCATAAAATGAAAGATGACTATCTTTACCACACCTACCACACCTGGCATGTAATTTTCTTTTCTGTCCCTCTCCCCAACCCCCACACTCCAAGGAAATCTATCTTCTTGCTAGAAACGAAAAGAAAAAAACAAAAACCAGGAAATGTAACATGGGTGATAACACTGAGTTAATACAAAAGCAAGTTCTTAAATGTGAAAGAGCAGTCTTTGTACGACCCACACTATACTCATTTAAGGAGGCAATCGGAACTTTTAAAAATGGCAGCCCATGGCCCTCCCTGGTGGCGCAGTGGGTTAAAGCACAGCACTGAGAATCTAAAGCCTCTTCCGCATGAGTTTGATTCCCACCTGCGCCGGAGGTGACCACATGGTGCGGCAGACCTCTCCTGACCCGCCTGCTGCTCCCCTCAGCAGTGT